CTTTTCATTCCCAACCATCCTGTGGTTTTGGGTTCTCGTTTTGAAGAGACGGTGCCCCGCGTCTCTCCTTCCTTCCTTCTCCCCCTCCCTCCTCCCTCCTCCCCCTCCTCCCTCCTCCCCATCCTTGCCTTCTCTCGGCGCACCTCTCACACGCTTCGTAGCCCCATAGGGAGCTCCACCGAAAGTCCCAGTGTGTGTGTGTGTGTGGGGGGGGGGGGGCGCATGCGTTCGCCACACCCAGCACAGCGCTTCGTGGCCTAGGGAGCTCCACCGAAGGTCCTGGGGGGGGGGGGGGAAGAGGCGCATGCGTCCGCCACACCCAGCACGGCGCTTTGTGGCCCCATAGGGAGCTCCACCGAAGGGGGCGCATGCGTCCGCCACACCCAGCACAGCGTTTCGTGGCCCCATAGGGAGCTCCACCGAAGGCCCCAGTGTGGTGGGGGGGGGCGCATGCGTCCGCCACACCCAGCACAGCGCTTCGTGGCCCCATAGGGAGCTCCACCGAAGGTCCCAGTGGGGGGGGGGGGCATGCGTCCGCCACACCCAGCACACGTTTCGTGGCCCCATAGGGGCTCCACCGAAGGCCCCAGTGGGGGGGGCGCATGTGTCCACACAGCGCTTCGTGGCCCCATAGGGAGCTCCACCGAAGGTCCCAGTGGGGGGCCCGCATGCGTCCGCCACACCCAGCACAGCGCTTCGTGGCCCCATAGGGAGCTCCACCGAAGGCCCCAGTGGGGGGGCGCATGCGTCCGCCACACCCAGCACAGCGCTTTCGTGGCCCCATAGGGAGCTCCACCGAAGGCCCCAGTGGGGGGGGGGCGCATGCGTCCGCCACACCCAGCACAGCGTTTCGTGGCCCCATAGGGAGCTCCACCGAAGGCCCCAGTGGTGGGGGGCGCATGCGTCCGCCACACCTAGCATGGCGTTTCGTGGCCCCATAGGGAGCTCCACCGAAGGCACCAGTGGAGGGGGGCGCATGCGTCCGCCACACCCAACACAGCGCTTCGTGGCCCCATAGGGAGTTCCACCGAAGGCACCAGTGTGGTGGGGGGGCGCATGCGTCCGCCACACCCAGCACAGCGCTTCGTGGCCCCATAGGGATCTCAACCGAAGGTCCCAGTGGGGGGGGCGCATGCGTCCGCCACACCCAGCACAGCGTTTCGTGGCCCCATAGGGAGCTCCACCGAAGGCCCCAGTGGAGGGGGGCGCATGTGTCCGCCACACCCAGCACAGCGCTTCGTGGCCCCATAGGGAGCTCCACCGAAGGCCCCAGTGGTGGGGGGCGCATGCGTCCGCCACACCCAGCACAGCGCTTCGTGGCCCCATACGGGGCTCCCCCGGATGCGATACCCACAACTGCGTATGGTTGGGTCCTTCGCCAGGCTAATCTAAATTACGCTACCGAGGAACCCCACAAACATTTCTTTATTTCTCATGTGTACCATCGGTGCTTATGTTGCTGTTCCTACTTCTCCTCCTCGGTGTCCTCCTCCTGCTGCTGCTTCTGCTGCTGTTGCTTCTGCTGCTGCTGCTGCGTCTGCTGCTGCAGCTGTTGTTGTTGCTGCCGCTGCTGCTGCCCCACCTCCCCGTCCTCCTCCTCCTCCTCCCTCCTCCTCCTCCTCCTCCTCCTCCTCCTCCTCCTCCTCCTCCTCCTCCTGCTCCTCCTCCTCCTCTCCTCCTCTCTCCTCCTCTCCTCATCTCCTCCTCCTTCTCCTCCTCCTCCTCCTCCTCCTCCTCCTCCTCCTCCTCCTCCTCCTCCTCCTACCTCCCAGCGCACCCCCTGTGGCGTCGAGGACATGCTACGCCTGCCACGCCCTGGGAGCCTGCAGCGCATAGGGCCCCCACCCCCAGCGCACCCCCTGTGGCGTCGAGGAAATGCCACGCCTGCCACGCCCTGGGAGCCTGCAACGCATAGGGCCCCCACCCCCAGCGCACCCCCTGTGGCGTCGAGGAAATGCCACGCCTGCCACGCCCTGGGAGCGCAGCCTGCAACGCGTAGCGTCCACCCCCAACGCGTAGCGTCCCCACCCCCAGCGCACCCCCTGTGGCGTCGAGGAAATGCCACGCCTGCCACGCCCAGGGAGCCTGCAGCGAATAGGGCCCCCACCCCCAGCGCACCCCGTGTGGCGGCCAGGAAATGCCACGCCTGCCACGCCCTGGGGGCCTGCAACGCGTAGGGCCCCCACCCCCAGCGCACCCCCTGCGGCGTCGAGGAAATGCCACGCTTGCCACGCCCTGGGAGCCTGCAGCGCATAGGGCCCCCACCCCCAGCGCACCCCCTGTGGCGTCGAGGAAATGCCTCGCCTGCGACGCCCTGGGGGCCTGCAACGAATAGGGCCCCCACCCCCAGCGCACCCCCTGTGGCGCCCAGGAAATGCCACGCCTGCCACGCCCTGGGGGCCTGCAGCGCATAGGGCCCCCACCCCAAGCGCACCCCCTGTGGCGTCGAAGGAATGCTCTGTGTGCTATGTTGTGCTGTGCTGTGCTGCTGTGCGGTGAGCTGTGCCGTGCTGTGCTGAGTTGAGCTGAACTGAGTTGTGCTCAGCTGTGCCGTGCTGAGCTGAGCTGAGCTGAGCTGAGCTGTGCTGAGCAGTGCTGTGAGGAGGAGGGGAAGAGTGAGGTGTGTGAGAAAGAGAGACGGAGAGGGAGGTGTGCGTGTGAGACGCGGGTGCGGCGCGGCAGAGAAGAAAACCATAACCCCACGAAGCATTGGGGAACATGTAAGCAGATGCAGCCATATCTACCACCCCCTGGATTAAAAAGTGGTGATCGGCACTGCGCGAAGGAACAACCCCTGGGTCTTCGCCAATCGATAAGGTCTCGAGCTTCGACCTTCGATCGATCCCAAGATGACTCCCAGACAGGCTCGTGACCCGAACGGATGAACGGTGCCGCAGGGGTGGACGAGACGCGCGGTTGTTAGGACAGCCCAGACTAAATCGCAACTCTGTGGCAGCGTGAAAAGCGGCCGGAAAATACCCTGTGAGGAATTCTCAGGCGATATCGCCACTCTCAAGCGGCATGAAGATCGATCTGACATTTTTTCTGAAGGGGTCCCACGCGAAATCCCAATTTTCAGATGCCATGGCAAATTTTGAGATTGCCCTGGAAGGCGATCTGATTTTTTGTTGAGGATGTCTCGGGCGGAATCGCATTTTCAGACGCTGACCCTATTCGGCTGTAATGCTAGTAAAAATGATGAGTGATGCATTTGAAATTCCGAAATCGGCCCCAACTCCAACATTGTCCCGGGGCCCCGTGGCCTAACGGGAGGCCAACCGTGTTTCTCTCGAACCCCACGGTCTCCACTTTTTAATCCACCGGGTTGTAGAACTGCTTCTTTCCATTTGCCTTCGTCAAAAGGGCAGCAGGGCGGAGTAGTCCGGAGTAAGAATGCTCCAACTATTCCGCGCGTGGGCGCATCTCGCTCGGTACTTTACAGGGTGTGGCGCGGAGTAGTTTCCGATCTGGTTTGGGGGTAACAGAATTATAAGCATCAGGCGATTCGGAACATAATGCGCCGAATGGTGCCAGCATTGTGACACTAAGAATCTTAAGAGGGATGGGAGATATCTTCGCCATCGCAAATTGATGAAATTTTGGCCTCGGCTGTGTATGGCGGCCTTAAGCAGGTACATGTAGCTTCGTAGATGTTCCTTGCTCGGGTGGTAGATACTTATTCACATGGTGGTGGTGGTGTCTACCCTTTCTACGTGTCCAACTTTCTGCGCCACGAACTAACCATTCACATATATGCAAATAGTAATTATATATATATGCGGATCTGTGTATGTATATGTATGTATGTATGTATGTATGTATGTATGTATGTATGTATGTATGTATGTATGTATGTATGTATGTATGTATGTATGTATGTATGTATGTATGTGTGTATGGATGTATGTATGTGTGTATGTATGCATGTATGCATGCATGTATGTATGTATGTATGTACGTACGTACGTACGTATGTATGTATGTATGTATGTATGTGTGTGTATGTATGTATGTATGTATGTATGTATGTATGTATGTATGTATGTATGTATGTATGTATGTATGTATGGATGTATGTATGTATGTATGTATGTATGTATGTATGTATGTATGTATGCATGTATGTATGTATGTATGTATGCATGTATGTATGTTTTTTTGGTTGGTTGGTTGGTTGGTTGGTTGGTTGTTTGTTTGTTTGTTTGTGTGTTTGTTTGCCTTTAGGGGCCCCCAAGATTCCCTGTTCCCTCTCCCCTCCCGGAGCCTCCCCGGAGCTTACCCCCGGATTCCCCAAGGTAAAACCCTTGCCGAAAAGGAAATAGGGGCTTTGAAAAGGAAACGCGCTAGACCATCTACGCCTTAAAGTGCTGGTGGGGGTGCTTGTTTGCGTGGTTGTCCAAATTCATCCACATTCCCCAGCTTGCTTTCGCCCGACCTAGGCCCAGTGGCCAGTTTGGGGTTTAGTTTTCATGGGCCTCCGGCGTACAGCCACGCGCCCACATCTTCCATTGAGCGAGAGGGCCGTCACGGCAGCGGGTTCTCGCAGAAAGGGGGCGTTTTGGCCGCGCGTGAAGATATGAGTTCTTTGCGCTTTGTGCGGCGCGAAGCGCGATTTCGCACGCCGTGCCACTTCAGTCAGCGGGCGAAGCACGGTATGAAAGAAAGCTTGCCGCGCTGAGGGGCACTCGGTCAAGGGCGGGCGGAGAGTTCATGCTCCTGCGTGCCAAGGTGGGGGCATGAAATTCTCAGCCGCCATTGTTCACCGCCTACCCAACCACCCCAACCCAACCCGAAGGCCCCGATGTGCCCTCTATTTCCAGTGGGGGGGAGGGTCGGGGAACAATGAAAAAACACATGTAAAGCCCGTACCCCCACCAACCCGACATTCGGGCGAAATTCGGGTCTTCGGGGTAGGTAGTCAGCCATGGTATCGCGTCCACCACTGTAGAAAGCCTCCGCCACGAACGACGGCAACGACGACGAGCGCCGTGCTCTTTCAGGACGACCGCATCAGGCTTGCGCTGCACGCCACGCGCTCCGAGGAGGAGCCGTGGTCTGGGCCCTCGGGGCGCATCGGTGACGCCCAGCTGGATGCCGCCTTGGCCGACGCCGCTGTGCCACCAGAGGAGGCCACTCGGCGTCGTCGTCGCCATCTTCGCGGTCGTCGGAAATCGACGATCGAATACAGTGGAGACCCATGTCAAGAAACACCCTGCTTGCCTCCAGGGTGCCCTTGGTTTCTTGGGTTTCGATGGTTTTGCTACGGAAAGCGTGACGTTCCGCACGAAAAATCTATGGACATCCTGGGGTCTCAGGGTTGGGTTTCTTGTGGCAGGTTTCTTGTGGTCGGGCCCCCCACTGTATCGATGTCAGTGGTCACGTTTGGGGGCCTTCGGTGTGCTCTCGCCGCCACACGGGTGGATCTTTCTTGAGATTCTGGTCGGACGGCGCCCCAGGAGATGTCGCCGCCGCCGCCCTCGTCGCCGTCGCCGTCGTCGTCGTCGTCGTCGTTCTTTTGCCTCTCCTCCTCCTCCTCCTCCTCCTCCTCCTCCTCCTCCTCCTCCTCCTCCTCCTCCTGCTCCTCCGCTGCCTCCTCTTCATCCTCCTCATCCTCCTTCTCCCCCTCCTCCCCCCTCCTCCTCCTCCTCCTCCTCCTCCTCCTCCTCCTCCTCCTTCTACTCCTCCTCCTCCTCCTCCTCCTCCTCCTCCTCCTCCTCCTCCTCCTCCTCCTCCTCCTCCTCCCTCCCCCCTCCTGCGCCTCCAGCGTCTCCCAAGGTCCTCTCGTACGTGTGCGGCCCGCCCAAGATGACGGACGAGCTCGTCGCGCTGCTGCGCGCCCGCGTGCCGCGCGCCCGCGTGCGCTTCGAGAAGTGGTGGTGAGCTCCAGCCGCAGGAGGGCCACCACCGAGGGTGTCGCCACCTCCTCCTGAGGATCGAGGAGAAATAGGGGAACGATAAATTACATACACCTAAAAACTCGAAGGTCCGCGCGGATTTCTCGGATCCGCGCTGGGCCCCCCTGTCGGCGCCTCCGGCGCCGCCCCACTCGATCCTCGATCTTCCTCGATCCTCGATCCTCCTCGATCCTCGATCCTCGTCGATCATCGATCCTCGATCCCCCTCAGAGGAGGTAGCGATCCCCCCCCTTGGTGGTGGCCCCCCCTGGCACGGCCAGGGTGGGGCGCGAGGGCCGCCGGTCGGGTGACCTGCCGCCCGGAGGGGAAGAGCTCGAGGGGCCAACGCCGAGCGCGGGTGCACAAGATACGGTCGGACCGAGGTGTAAGGTCGAGGTCGGTCCGGGCAGGGTACCCTACCGGCGTTTTCAAAAAAAACGCCCAAGTACAACGCCTAGAAGATGGCGCAAGAGCGCCCCCCGGGCCCCCAAATTCAATGTTCATCTGAGGGAGCAGGCCGCGGTTTGCAAATGTGGGCGTTTTCTCCGAAACGACTCGCACTCCACCGCGTCGACCGCCCTGAACTTTGAAATTGGGGCTGGGGGACCCGCTTCAACGCGCATTCGAGATGGGCGTTTTTTGAAAACCACGGTAGTCTAGGCCCCGTACTACCCTCGTCAAATTGAGCCTCAAAAATGGCGAACACGCCCCTGCGATGTCGGCGCGCCCTTCCATGTGGATACGACGCCCCTCCAATGTCGGGGCCAGGGCAAAGGTGGTCTGACTGGGAACGACTCGGAAGTTCGATGAAGACCGACATTGGAGGGGCGGCGCATACAAGTACCTCGCAGTCATCGCTACTCTGTCCAATATCTCTCCACTAACAGTTCAGCCACGTAAGACATTTTGGAGGTTAATTTTGACGAGGGTTGTAGATGGGGTCGGAGTAGATGGGGTCGGAGGATCGCGCCGCATCGGCGATGCATCGGCGATGCATCGGCGATGCATCGGCGATGCGGCTCGATGTGGGACCTAATTTTCTCCACGCCGACGTCGCCGATGAATTGCCGACGTCGCCAGTGCATGGCCGATGCATCGCCGTTGCGACGAGATCCTCCGACCCCATCTACTCGGACCCCATCTAGGAGGCCTCTACCTAGCGTTTTTCGTGTTTGTTGGATGTATTTGTGCATCCTGGTGAGGGTACCTTTGGATGTTCTGTTTGTTTTGGCCGACGGAGAGTTCCATGTTCTTGAGGCATGTTCTTTTGGCCTAGGTCCGACTGTATGCTCGAGTCAGTGTCGCGAGAGCGCGCGCGATCATCTCCTCCATGCTCTCGTCCTCCATCCCCCCTCCTCGCGCTGCTGCTCTTCCTTTCCCTCTTCCTCGCGTTTGCTGTTCCTCCGTTTCCTCCCCCGCAGCCGCTCGCTTCTGTCAACCTCGGCGGCGGCGGCGCGGCGGCGGGAATGCCGTGCGTGTACCTGCTGCTGTCCGAGGCGACGGCGTCGGCGGCGGCGCGCCGCCGCCGTCGCGCCGGCCACGTGCTCACTTACGTGGGCATCGCCAGGATTGTGTTCTTTTGAGGGCGGGGGATGATGGGGTGGCGGTCTGGGCAGCCATATTTTTTCAATTTCGGCCTCTCGCTATAGCGCCGCGCACATTCTCTCCAAAATCTGATTCTCGCCTTGGCGCCGCGCACGTTTTTGTTCTGCTGGATGGGGGGAAGTCCGCTGGTGGGCCAGTCACCCCAGGGGAACTCCATTGGTAAGCCAGCCGCCCAGGGGTGGTGCACTGACAGTGTCCGTCCACCCCAAGGGTGGCCCACTGCTGGTCCCTCCACTGTCTGGTTGGCCCACTGCCGTCCACTCCAAGGACGCCCACTTGTACACTCTCGACTCAGGGCTTTCGTGCGTGCGTGAGCGTGCGGTGGTGGTGGTGGCGGCGCCGGTGGTGGTGATGGTGGTGGTGGTGGCGGTGGCGGTGGTGGTGTGGTGTTGGTGTGTTTGTGTGTGTGTGTATGTGCGTGTGTGTGCGTGCGTGTGTGTGCGCTTGTGAGAGGGAGTGAGTGTGTGCGTGTGCACGCGGACCAGGCCTCCAGGAAAATGCCCTTGGTGGGCCAGCCACCCAAGTGGTGATCCATTGGGCGCCCGTGCCTGGCATTGCTTGGTATTGGTTGGTCGTGATTGGCATTACTTGGCCGTGCGTGGCATTGATCGGTGGCATTGATCGGGCGTGCTCGTCAGGGACTGGCATTGATATCTCGTGCTTGGCATTGGGCGATCGTGCTTGCATCGGTCATGATTGACGTTGGTCGGTCTTATTCGGCATTGAGTGATCATGCGTTCTATTGCGTGGGATTGGCTGGTAACGCATAGCATGATTGGGCGACGAGTAGTCGTGCTTGGCAACGCTTGGCATGGCTTGGTCGTGCATGGCACTGCTTGGCGCTGATGTCTCATGCTTCGTATTGATTGGCAGCGATTGGTTGTGCTTGCATTGATCGACATTGGTCGGTCATGCTTGGCGCTGCTTGACATTGTTTGGCGTTGCTTGCCGTTGAGACACCCCCGGGGCTGATGAGTGCGACCCCATGGGCCTTGGAAAGAGCCCTTTCCTTCCCTTCGGCCTTCGGGTCGTGTTCAGGGTACTGCAATGGGGACCTCCGAGAAGAGTCTACGTGTGTGAATGTGCGAACATGCATGGCCGTGTGTACATATTTACATACATAGGCTTCAGACTTGCCATTGTTTGACGGTGAATGGTCGCGCTTCGCATCGCTGGGCATTGCTTGGCCATGCCTGACACTGCTTAGCGTTGATGGCTGATGGTTTCTGGTGGTTGGCAAGTGGCGGTCGTGCTTGCATTGCTTGGCAATGGTTGGCCATGCTTACCATTGGTTGGCCGTGTTTGCTGTTGATACGCCTCAGAGCTGATGGCGTGACCCCGTGGGCCCTTGGGCCGGGCCTGATCTTCCCTTCGGCCATCGGGTAGTGCTCAGGGTGCTGCGAAGGGGACAGCCGAACGCACACGCACACACACACACACCGATATACATCTGTACGCACATATATATATATATATATATATATATATACATCTATATATACACACACATCAAGCTGCCTGCGGCAAACCCCGCCACCGCGCCTGTGCAGCAGCGCAGCAGGAAGGAGACCGAGTGTTGTGCGAGGGCGCTGGTGGACATGCCACACCAAGGGGGGACCACTAATGCAATCTCCACACCTGAGAATTCCCCACACCAGAAAGTCCACTGGCGGGCCCTCCACTCCAGGGGCGGTCCAGTTCGGACCACCCGCTCCTGCGACTCCTTCCGCCCCCCTTTATGGCCACGGGAGGTGCGTTGGTGAACCCATCCACTCCAAGAAATGTCTGTCTGCGGGCCAGCCACCCCAGGGAGTTCCATTGGTGTGCCAGTCACCCAAGTGGTGATCCACTGGTGGCCCGCCCTTGGCATCGCTGTAGATTGGTTGGTCGTGCTTGCCATTGCTTGGAATTGCTTGCCCCGAGAGGCCCTGAAGGCTTATCCGAGAGGCCTTGCAGTGGGGCACTTAATGTCAAGCACGACCAACCAAAGCTTGGCAGCGCCGAGCTCGACCGGCCAATGCCAGGCACGGCCAAACAATGCCATGCGCGAGCACCCAATGCCAGGCTGCGCCAAGTACGACCGCACGAAGCCAACCGATACCAATCATGAGCAAACAATGCCAAGCAATGCCAAGCAGGACCACCCATGCCATTGCCAACCGATGCCAAGCCGAAATACGCAACGCCGATCAACGCCAAACACAACCAGTAAACATGGCAATCAACGCCAGGCGATGCATAGCATTGCCAACAATGCCAAGCAATGCCAAGGACGACCACTCATTGCCAAGCAAGCAAAACCAAGCATGACCAATCAATTCCAGGGAACGCCGAGCACGACCACACATTGCCAAGCTGTGCCGAGCAGGAACAGGCAGTGCCAAGCAATGCAAAGCACGAACACCAAATGACGAGCGCGGCCAACCAATGTCGAGCACGACCGACCAATGCCAAGCAGCTGGCAGGGGCATTTAGTTCAATTCCAAGCAGTGCCACTGACGGCCTACCAAAGCCAAGCATCGACAACGAGCGCCAGACAATGGCATGCACGACCACCCAATGCCAAGCAGCCCCAGGCATGTTCAACCAACGCCAAGCAGTGCCAAGCGAGAACACCCAATGCCGAGCACGACCAAGCACTGTAAGGCGCGACCACGCAATGCCCAGGAATGCCAAGCAATCCCCACACCATGGCGAGCAATGCCCATCCGACCGCCAATGTCAAACAACTCCAAGCACGGCCATCAAACTAAGCGCGACCGAGCTATGCCGAGCACGACCAACCAATGCCAAGCCGCGCTAATCACGGCCACTCGATGTCGAGAAATTCTAAGCATGATCAACAATAATGCATCGACCATGCCAAGACGGCAAATTCCTCAGCTCTGGAGCGCCCCCCAAAAGGCTCAGGGTATCCAGCGAGGTTCCCCCGCAGGCTGGCCCAGCAGACTCCGAAGAATTCCGCCAAGGGCTGCGAGGCCTCGACACACAGGCTGTGAGACCTCTGCCGCAAGGCCCCTTGGCAATGCTTGGCACTGGTACCTCTCAATGGTGTTGTTACCTAACAGCGAAGACTGATAGGTTTCTAGTAGGGTCAAAAGAGAGCATCATGACGCCCCAGGGGGGTCTGGGCGCGATCCGGGGAAGTGCCGGGGATCTTTTTTAGCAAGCAGTTACACACTTCGTGGTCTTCGAGGTCCCAGAACTCCATTCCCGGGCCACATTCTGAATGCCCAGAGCCAACTGTAGGCCACTTCGTAGTCTTCGAGTTCCCAGAACTCCATTCCTGGGCATGATTTTGAATGCCCGGAGCCAAGTGTAGGCCACTTCGTGTTTTTCGAGCTCCCAGAACTCCATTCCCGGGCCACATCTTGAATGCCCGGAGCCAACTGTAGGCCACTTCGTGGTCTTCGAGTTCCCAGAACTCCATTCCTGGGCATGATTTTGAATGCCCAGAGCCAAGTGTAGGCCACTTCGTGTTTTTCGAGCTCCCAGAACTCCACTCCCGGGCCACATTCTGAAGGCTGAGGCAGGCTGATGCTGAGGCTGAGGCAGGCTGAGGCTGAGGCATGCTGAGGCTCAGGCTAAAGGCAGACGGGCTGAGGCTGAAGCAGGCTGAGGCTGAGGCAGGCTGAGGCTGAGGCTGAGGCAGGCTGATGCTGAGGCAGGCTGAGGCTGAGGCAGAGGCTGATGCAGGCTGAGGCTGAGGCAGGCTGAGGATGAGGCCGAGGCTGAAGGCAGACTGAGGCAGGCTG